GGCGGGGCGGGCTCCTTCAAGTACAATTTTTTTGAAATTGACTTCCAAGAATCCCAATCATTCTTTTAATCTGGCGCCCTCATTCCTTGTTCTGGCGGCGAGGGGAGGGGGGTTGGGGCGGGCCATGGCGGGCCCCACCCCAAATTCGGATTGCGGAATTCCAACACAATATGGGCCGTCCACGTTTGTGAAAACCGTTGGTTCTTTCAAATTGTTGGGCCTGTTGGGCCCCCTTCCTGAAACACACATGTTTGCATTCTTGTGCCAGCGAAAACCTCAAACCAACATCCAGCCGCCGCTGCCGATCCAGCCGCTGCGGGCCCACAGCCGGCCCGCTGCCTGGCAGCCATCCAGCCGGTGTGATCTTTTTATTATTTTTGGCAGGGAGGACCACAATCTGTTGACCAATAGTCTAAATGTATATTGGGGTCCAGCCACAAAACGCTAGCTAAAACCCTCGTATCTTGCAAACTACCGCAAATCCCAATTAAGTGTACCCAAAACGCGAAACCCATAAATTCAAAAGTATATATTGGAAGCCATAGCAAATATATTAGGGTCTGTAGAGGTTACTCAGCTCCATCCACGTGCTCACGTCGGATGTTTTGCCCGCGACATCCTATGACGGATTAGTGCCCAAGTTGGCGTTCAGCGCTTCGGGCATTAGAATGCGGGGAATTCCGCGAGCTTGAACATATGGAACGATCGTCTGGGTGTTGCATCGCTGATGTTCATTCGAAGGCTCAGGGCATGGCAGGGTTTTGGGTTTGCGGGGTACGGTTGCAGGATAGGGATGGAAGGAATCATTTTGAACATGGCCTTGACCTGGCAGGATTGGGGTTTCGGGTGTAAGCTTGAGAGCTTTGGGTTTGGAGTGCAACAAGGAGCAACAATTGTAGAATAAATTGTTGTTTGGATTGGTTGACCAGTTTCGTATCTGTATGGTTCTTGCACGTCAAACTGACATTTTTAAATTCAACATGGCATTAACTGCCATCCCAAACATCATCACCATCAACGAAACGAGCTGACTAAATTGCTGCAATACGGATACCATGGTGCGAAGGAGTGCTGGCCAAAAAAAAAAATCGTCCAAAGGCTGATCGTGACCGAAAACTTGTACGCTGGGTTTTTGTCCGCAAAAAGGAGAGGTTTGAGGACACCACACGGTTTTTTTTCCCACACGGTTTTCAGGCTACAAATGCTATGCTATACATTAAACACGACATAGGGGTTGGACATACATGGGGGGGTCAGGCCCAGGATTTTATCACTATAAAATCCTGGGGGCTTGACCCCTCAGGAAAATAAATCTCCAGGGGCTTGAGCCCCTAAACATCAATGATTTTGGGATACCCGTCGGCTCGTATGTGAGCAACATGTCCGAGATAAAATCCAGGGGGTCTGACCCCCACAGATGACCAACAGCGAAGCATAAATTTTGGGGACCTAACATTCAAACAAACTGCTGATCATGCTGATCTCTAAGCGTGCAGCGCTGATCTTTTTGCTCCACAGGTGGGTGCGAGCCCCTCCCCAAGGGCTGGTGAAACCTGTGTCAAGAACGAACCTTACCAGCGGCTGCCTCCGCCACAGTGCCAAGAGTGCCTTCCACGATGTCGTTCAGCAGGTTCATGAACTCCTGGGGCGCGTGTATGCCCAGCCACGAACTAATGAATTATTACCCCTATACGTCATATACCCTAATATCCCTAATTATCCTATTTGTTGCACCTATCGGAGCGTAAACTGAGAAAACCTATGAACATGCCACATGGTCCAAGCATCCGTCCGCAAGTGCTGCTCCCCAGACAGCTGCGCAGTGATTTTGACGAACTGCGTGTGGATCGCCCGGCCATACGCATCTCGGTTCCGCAGCGAACTGAACTTCTGGCAGAAGAAGTTCGGCGCTCGATTGAGCACTTCGTCCCACATGGGGCCAACCTTGCCCCCTTTCAAGCGCACACAGCCCTCCGTAGTCAGAAGCGGGCGAGCTCCATGATGAACCGAATCAAGCTCCAAAAGTTTTTGGAGTTCCTGGCGTATCAACTTATCTCCTTGCTTCGTGCGGGCAAAGTTGGCTGGCAATGCCTGGCTGGCATGTGAGCTTACATAGCGTACATGATTTATTTAAGCCATAGCCCCGGGAAAACACATGAGGGAAGCAGAAATCAACTACAAAACGACATACATACGTGCTGCCGCCAGTTTGCCGGAATCTCCTTCCCCGACTGAGCCATTTTGGCTTTCAACGCCAAGTGCTGCACGAAACCCTGCTTCACTTGCTGCTGCAGCTTGGAACCCGCAGTGCGTTTCACCTGCTTGGGTTCGGACTCCACATCCTCCATCTGCTTGCCGTCGTTGGCAGTCTCGATAGTTTCCGCAGCCATGTAGCCCTGGAGAGAGTCAGGCCAAGCAGTCATCTCATGAGCCGTCTTGACAAGATCCAAGCTCAAGCCAGTCAACTGGCAGCGAAAGCCGTCAAGCCCCGCGGTGGAACTCTCCGTCTGCAAGACCAAAACTGCCCGGTGCGCGGCACAAACAACAGCGTGACTGTAGGAAGTGGCATGGAAAGCTCCCTCAGACTGGCCCTGCATCGGCTCCATGATGGCTACCCTCATGCACTTGATGGCTTGCAAAGGTGTCGGCAAATGCGTTGGCTTGCATCCACGTGCAGTCTTCCGAAAAACAGTGAGCACACAAGCGACGTGCCACCACTGGCAAGCCGGCGGCGCAACCAGCAAGATGAGGCCTGACGCGAGCTCCTCCGGGTCGGCTGCATCCGTCTTGCCACACTTCTGCTTCAGGCTAGCCCCCAGGGCTCTCCATGCTGCCGCTCTGCTTGTCCTCTTCGATGGAGCACCGACCTGTGAACGGATGATTGCCATCTCGCGCTCGCAAAGTTGATGCCAGTTCAGTTTCTTTCTGGGCCGGCGCGTGCGTGCAGGATCCGGTAGAATGTGGCCATCCGCGCCTGACCTCAAGGTCACCAGCAGTAACCACAGCCACGGCAGAGCCGGCTCCACATTCTGCAATTTGCCAGTTCCCACTCACGCATGCTGGAGCGCAACCGCCAGCGTGAGCACATGCTTCTCTGAATCTACAGCACAGCCGCCACCTTCGGATCCTTTGGTGTTCTTGGATTCCTCTGGTGACTGCAAATCCTCCCACGTAGCCTGATCCAAGACCTTTGGGGGAGGATGATCACCGCAACCTAGCCGTTGTGCCTGTTGATCACCTTGCCCATCCAGCTCATCTTCGGCCCACCTGATCTGCAGCCTGCCTGGCCCGCAGCTGCGCAAGAAGCTGGTAGCACTCAGCATCGCTCCCCACAAGCGCAGGCCCATCTGCATCACCTGCGGAGGAGCCTCTGCATCCATTGTCCTGGCAAACATTGGCAATACGTACTACACTCCAAACTCCAAACCCTAAACCCTGAACATCCTAAACCCTAACCCCTAAACCTCAGCGCAGGCCTTGTGGACAAGCGGAGCTTGATCCTCATCCTCCATGAAGTCCTCCAGCTCATCATGCTCTCCTGTCAAGGCGCCACCTTCCTCGAAGATCTCGAAGTCCTCGGCCAGCTCCACAAGGCCCGCAGAGTACGCAACATACCTTTTAAGCACCGCCTCGGCTGCGTCACCCGTGCATGCGGCCATGAGCTCAAGCGCTGACCACAATGCCCGGTTGGCAATGTCTGTAAACTCCGCGTCTGTCACAGCAGCTGCCGGCTCCTGCGGAAGGCGCTGCGGTGGATCTTTGCTCAGCCGGCAGCACGTCTGCCGCATCTTGCGACAGGATGCATGCAAAAAGTCTCTGACTGTCATCTGTGATGATGAGAACTGGTTCCTTAGATACCCGAACCATTGCTCCAAAGGCAACTCAGAGGATCGCCACGGGAACCAGGGGGTTTGCGGGGATAGGCTCGTGCACGCCACTGCGATCATGCCAGCCAGCTGCTGCATGTTGCCTTGCGTTGTCCGGTGGATCCAGCAGCTCCCTTTTGGCAGCCCACGCTTGGTACAGGTTCTCTCGGCCTCCATCGCCCCAAGATCGAACAAGACGAAGCTGCTGATAGCATTTTCCAGCCGCTGAGCAGGCGTCAAACCTTTCAGATCTTTCAGGGGGATGGAGTCACAGTATGTCAGAGTCGCTAGCCTACACTCATGCAACAAACCAATAACTAGAGATCACTAGAGCCTGGGTGGAAGACTGAGCTCGTTGTCAGGCAGGATGTCAAGTTGACCAACACGGCGCCAACCAACGACCAAGGCACCCGAACCTCACGCACGTCAGTAACCAGGTCGGCCACATAGTGGAATGCGTTGAAGAAAGATGCTGCTTCAGCATCTGACTGCCCATCATAGGACTGAAATGCAGCTGGGGGCATGCACAAATCAAGACATCCGGAGAAGTCCGTGAAGAATTGTCCGAAGGCAATTGTCCGGGAAGGGCTTCTGCATTGTCCTGCCATATTCTTCTGCAGGTGAGCTGGACCATTCAGTCCGAATAGGATCTCGCCGTCGACGGAGGGCTTGTTGAATGGAAACCTAGGCAGCGCGGACTCTGGAAAAGGCACGTAGCTGATACGGGACCAAAATGGAAGACCACGTAGCTCGTCAGGGCTCAGGCCAGTCTTTTGTCCTAAGAGCATGGCTTTGATAAGGCCGTGCTGCGTGGCATTGTCAAAAGCAATTGTTCTGATCTGGCTGGCACCCTGCAGGACCTGCCCCACCAAATGCAACATGTGCATGGCCGAGCTCTCGTACGAGGTCGGAATACAGCAGGCTGAAAACCGGGGCAGACCCTTCACGGCTGGATCCCAAATAAGAAATTCGAGCATCTCTTGAGCATAGTTGAGATCTGCAGCGTCCCACGTGAGCTGTTCACTGGCTTGGTCATCTTCTTGGGGTTCTTGCAGTTCTTGGTTATCGTCGTTCGTGCGCAGGAGCAAGAAGCCCTTGTTGCCGTCCTCCTTGCTACACGTCTGAGGCGCACCCCTTCTTGCAGACATTGCCGCATCCGGATCGAAGGCGGTGCCCAGATAGGCACGGCCGCCACGAAATTGCACGACATCCAGTCCTTTGAGGATATACGTCTTGTCAAATGCCAGGGTCGGTCGCCTGCCTGAGGGAAGGGAACTCTCGGAGGCATCCCTTCGCGTAGCCAAATGGTTGCCTATGATCAAACAATTCTGTTGCAGAAGCGCTAACTCGGTCTGCGCTAAGAACGCATCTGGCAAGTTGCATGCGTGCATGTTGTGCAACGACAGCTTTGGGACTCGGAACGCAAGTCCGAATTGTCGGATCAGCTCCGTGTTGCTTGCAGCCATTGCAATGCTCACGCCTGCCTCGGACATCATCGAGAGCTCGAGCTCCGAAAGCTTGTGGCCGCGAAAGCCCGAGGATCCACGCCTGGCACGCTGGGATTGCTCGATCGCTGCCACCAGGATGCCTTGGACGATTGGATGCTGACGCAGCGCGCCAGAGGCTACGTGGCACGCCAGCTTCAAATCGATCTCCGCAACGCTTGAAAGGTCTCCATTCCTCAACTTCTCTGCACGCACCCGGACTGAGCCGGCTGGATTCGCAACCTGACCATTCCATGAGGACGCCGGAACCTTCAGGCAGGGAAACACTACGGAGGACATGAAGTCACGGAGGCGCAAGCACCACTTGCTGGACGGGACGGAAAGGAACTGGGACCTCACAAAGTTCTGGAGCGAGATTTGGTTCAGCTCAAAAATCTCATCCAGCTGACGGCCATCTTTGATCTGCTGCATCATGACAGGCACCTGATCCGGCTCGAAGAACCGGGCCGCAAGTAGGCGAGCAGCAGTGTGCTTCATGTAGAATCGCAAGACCATTCGTATGATGGGCCGGGAGCTGCCCAGCTCCGCGCAAAGGTGGCACATTGCCGGCTCATTGCGGTCACCTTGGCAGCTCACAGTTGCTGCGCAACTCCGATGGCGTATGATGAGGCTGCCACTATTCAGGTCAATCGTGTAGCTGTGGTTGGTTGCATCTTCACCGCCCAAATGCTTGACTGCGTGCAGTATGCTGTATGACGCCCACAGATCACAGGCATCAGCAAGCTTCACTAGCCTGGCACTCTCGGGGCCAGAGCGGACGTTGAAGCCTCCACAGTTGACCTGGATGTTGTCCTCGGCGCCACCCTCCTGATCACCTTGCTCTCCGGCAGGGACAAGCTGCGCACCCTGAGGTCCCTGGGCCTTACCAGATATACCAGATGATGCAGACGCAAGAGACCCCTGCAGCTTGGCAGCATTCTTCACGTGCGTGGGCCCGTTCAAGTGCTGCAGAACAAACTTCTTGTGGTTCAAGGTAATCATGTCAAACACTGCATACTGCTTGGTCGCCTTGCGCTTGCATGCAATGCATTGTACAGGATATCTCTTGCTCATGGTACCTTCAGGCAACCTTAACTGTCTTTAGGACCCTCCCTAACAGTTACATTAAACCTTTTGCCTCCTTAATATAAAAAGTAGGGAACCCAAAAAGTTAAAGTCCTAACAGCCCCTCAGAAGACAGCCAAGAGAAACAACTGCAAGAGTGGGTGGTCCTTGACGAACTGTCGCACCTCGTCCTCGGCATCCTGAGCATCCACTGCCACCTCATCACCCTCAATCTCATCATGAGTAGCTGATGTAGCTGCAAATTCGCACAGCTGCCCTTGACGATCTTGACGTCACCGACAGGGCAATCTCCAGAGCCTTTCAACGGAGCCTTGCAGATGTGCTTGCTCAAGCGGTCGTTGTAGGTAACGCCTCTCTGAGCCAAGTACATTCGCGCAGCCTTCAGCCGCATCTCCCGCTGACTCTTTGCCTTCCGCTCCTGCTTGGCCTGGTCGCCGGCAGGAGCCCGCAATGCTGCGGACCGAGCACGCTTTCTTGAGGCTCTAGGCTGGAAGTCTCCCAAAATGGGCTGGTCATGCTCTAGCTTGACAGACTGCAAGGAAACTTCAGCCTTGACAGGGACACTGGCGCCAGACTCCGGGCGAGAACGAACAAGTCCAGCGCTGCACGCCCTGCGCGCTGTTGCAGAAAGCTTGGGTGGAGTGTGCGACTTCAGCAGGGCTGCTGCCTCACGTTGCCTCTGAGAGGAAGGAGGTGTTGTAGGTGTCGGAGCTTCAACCTTCACAGAAGGATGCGTTCCAGGCGCCTCGATCTCAGCCTTCACAGGGTCAGGAGGGCCGCTCACTGGCATGAACGCATCAAAGAGGCAGCGCCAAGCTTCGTCTTCTGCAGAAAGGCTCTCTCAGGAACCGCCAACGTGCTGCGATCTGCTCCCGCACCTGTCTCATGTCTGCCAGGGTTGCCTCATCCACAGTGAGAGACATGAAAGGCGAGCCGCGCTTCAGCGCAAGCATGGTCCAGCAGCCACAGTTGCCGTCACGTTATTTTACACACTTTGTGCGCTTGAGCCAAACACGTCACGTGCTTGACAACTTTGGTTGTGTCCTGGTCAAACCAAACATGCTTGCACATGCTCTTCATGGCTCACATGAAACTCTGTACTAAATCACTATACA